AAAGTGTCAGAACAAATTTGACTGCCTTATTTTTGAAATGTTTTTTATCCAAGAACTGAAACCGACGCTTAACAAACAGTGCGATTCAATTCGCGCCAAATTATTTGTTTAGAGTAGTTCTTGTTAACATTGTTTTATTTCCATTGTTTTTTGACTTTATAAATATTTTTAGCACTTTTTACATTTTTACATATTTTATCACATTTTAGCGTTCACCACATTTTTATCTATTATAACTTGTTTTTAACTTATTTTTGCTAATTTAGAGAACTTTTATACACTTGAAAATGACCTCGGAGAGGTCGAAACGTTGTGATTTTTTATCGCTAATATTTATCTCAAAATCGTTTTCAGTTAATCTCATTTTTATTTTTATTTTTTTGTTTGGAACTGAAGTTTATACTGAATTGTTCATTATTCTGATGGCTAGATTGTGTTATTCATAATTTCTGAATCCCAATTTTCATTATTCATCATTTTCTATGTGAACATCATTACTCATTATACCGTCTTCACCACCGGATGAAGGAGAAATGACAATGCAAAATACTTAAGAGCACTGACGATCTATCTACTACCTGAAAGTTTTTTTTCCAAAGCTCTATTGAGAGAAACTGAGCAATCAGAAATCTATTGCGATGACAGTTTGGAGGGGGACATGAGGATTTGCGTTGTTGCCGCGGTGTTGCTTATTTGTTTTGTGTGGCGATGCGATGAATAAAATCCCATCTGGTATTCGGTGAAAAGAAACAACTCGCGGACATCATATGGCCGTAGTTTGTAAAACGGAGGAGCCCGGGCTCCTGATAAGCACCACAACAAGATGAACTTAACCGTGTTCAGGCCGTGGGTCTCTTGAGGTTCCCCTCACTTAAAAAAAAATCGTATAGGCTTCGACCGCCAAACTTAGCGACATTTCCAAGAAAGTATCTGGGAACACTTTAAATTTGTCGTGAGTGGACGTCAACATTTATATTACCTTGGCAACCGAATTTGACGGCCAAGTTTCCCAAAATTTGCATTTTTCATAACGAAGATTTATTCTCCCGGGGAGATTCATTACACAAAACAAACTTGATGAATGACATTAATTTTAAAACACGTGCAAGGAATTGCGAGATAATTTTACACCTTAATATCTTCCCCCAAAAATAGCTAGCATTTTCGTTTGTTCTATAGTTCTCTTGACTTGCGGTTTCAAATGCGTCATTAATTAGCTAATAATGTTCACGTGAAAATATAAATTTGAGACAGTAAGCATTGAATGATAAGTGTAAAAGACCAAGCAGTAGAAGCAATTTAAAAAACTGACAAAAAGACCAAAAAATGGATTGGAAGACTTTGCTTTACATGAAGGCCATGAAAAAGGCTGATAATTTCCAACTTATCATCATCACATTTTTTTTTATATATTATAAGTAGACCATGTTTCATAACAAAAGATCCGAGCTGCGTGACAGGTGCTTGCAGGGAAGAAAAAATGGGAAATTAAGGCCCCCGCTTTAATTAACCCTTCAAACGCATGCTTCCCATCAAACACATGCTGCGAAGCCTGCGGCTATTCCACAGTGCATGATGATTAAACGTTTCTTTCTCACAATTGGCTGAAGTTTTCGTCAATAAATTTCAGCTGTAATAGCTAATTGTTAACCAACAACGGTACTACTTCCTGTTTTTCATATTTAGTTTCATTTTGCCAGCGCCAAGAAAAGACGAAACGATCTGGAAAGGCAGGTCTCCGTTTCATTCTGTAGGTATATTAAAAGGTTTTATATGTCGCTTGCATTTTTACTTTTTGTGTAGAACAATAAGGTACATAGAAATAGAGTTAAAGGTATTTTGAGGCTCTATTTTAGCTCAAGTGAAAGATTTACTTGATTAGAAAAACAAAAATATATAAAAAAACATTGCTCATACAGTGAAAGATCTCCTGTAGGACACTATGGTAAGCGGACAACTCTACTTACAGCTAGCCTGCGTAGCTGGCGGAACTGTTTTGCGCGCGCGTGTGAGAATATTTCAGGCGGCGAAGCCCCATTCGCCGCCAACTTCGTAGCTCCTCTGCCAAAACTTTTCTGCTTGAGCGAATGATCCCTCCAGCTACGCAGGCTACTTACAGCTGCCTTCACAAACCCTGTGACTTTCAACTTCCATACAGTGTCAGTCTGTATTTTAACATTCCCGCGCAAGCGGCCAGCTCCAGTTACGGACACCTTTTTCGCGTCTCGAGGATGTCCGCTCACGAGAGCTTCCACTGTATTAAATATTTTGCTCATATTTAGAGCTACAGGTGTAGGTATTAGCAAGTTACTAACCTTGATGTAGTTTGTTCTAGAAAAGTGCACTTCGCCTTGGAGAAAGTCAACAAAATCAATTTTCGCTGCCGAAGACTTCAGAACAACCAAAAGGTAATACAAAATGACAGGTAAAATTTATTCAAACTTTGCTTATAAAACGCAAAAGGGAAGACGGAGGGGTGATATCCCCAATAAGTTGATTTATAAAAGACTCCTACTACTAGAAAAATTATCTCAAGAATTAATGATCTGAAAGAACAGCTACATTTTAGACGAGGATTCCCTTTCAACTGACCGAAGTTCTTAGCTAGTGCTTAATTTTGGCTTAAAGTAGCGATACAATTTAGCTATGTGCTACAGTTTAGTTTTTCCTGAAACATAAGCTATAAGATATTTAAGCAATGTGATAAAACATACGTATAACGAGAATTGTCTTGGGCATTTTTTTTGCGCTTCAAACTAATTTCCCAAAGTTAACGGGCCCGGCTATCCGCACTGCCAGACAAATTAGGAATTCTCTTTAAAACATTTCAACCTTACATTGTATGGTAATAATTTTTGTTTTGAAAAAATTATCTGCACTGGAAACAATTTACTTTTAACAGCCCGCCATATCTGCCAACGCTGGAAAGAATAATGGCTTTACAACAAATGTCTGACGAGAAAAAACACATTTTCGCTTAATTAGTCGGTTCTGTTCAGCCCTAGCTGTGTTCAGTTTTTACTCAAAGCAAATTTTGTCCTCGGCGCCTTGAAGATTGTCCCGTTGCAAACAAAGTTTGAAAAATGACGGATTTGTCTAAGGGCCGATCCGCATAAGCAGACAAATTTGGAATTGTCTTTTGAACCATCCAAACTAAAAACTTTATGATGACAATTTTTGTCTGGAAAAAGTTGATCGGCACTGGAAACTATTAACTCTTGAAAAACTCATTAATATTCAGTAGATATATTGTGCAATTGACTATTACCATCTGCATCATTTGCAAACTGAAAAGTCAGGGGTTATCAGGCAGGGGCACCCAAAGTTGAAAACACTTTTAGGCTATCCAGAGTAGTTTTAGATCTCAAGAAATACATTCTAAGCGGCGGTATAAACTGATTGGATTCTGTTCGGTCACCCAGGGGACTTTGCGTCTTTTCGAAATTACAAGGGCTTCAGAATTTTTTTACCCGAAAATTTTAGATGCAATTTATCCTTTTACGAATCATGTGAAAATTTTTCTGATTCCTCTCTCAATCACATTTTTTGAATCTGAAAGTTTTAGGTTTCGTTTTTCTACGAAAATAGCATTACTTGGGGAGTGAAATGTGACAAATTCAGCTTCAGAAAATCTAGGGGATTTATGAGATAAGTTTCGAAAATTGTACATGAATGGAACGGTTATGGAGAAATTTTTAGCCGTCCTCAAGTAATGGAAAATTCTATAGGCAATATTTGCTTCTCCGAAGAGATATTTTACAGAAAACAGTCGTTGGGTGCCCCTGATTTAGGCTTTGAATTCGGCACTGAATGACTGAAATATATAAGGGAACATCTATTATGATTAACACTATATATAAAGAATACTAATAAACATGTTTCTTTATTTTTATTAAAAGATTTTTTAATTTTTTTACTATACCTGTCCTCCTTACTTACAAACAAATGAAAAGTCGAAAATTTGACAAAATTTAACATCCTGAAATCAAACAAAACAGAAAACCGTTGACCGGTCAGAACTTATTCTTAAAGGAAATTACGAAGAAAGCACCAAACCGCGGTCCACATAACCATTTCCACAAGGAATTGGCGAAAGGAGTCACAAACAACATGATTTAATTCTAATCAGCGTCACCCGTTTGGGGGGCTTATAATTTGAGGAGCTTATACATGGAGGGGCTTATTTTCGGAATTTTACGGTATCTTCACACGTGGAAATATCACCGTTGCTATGGCTACATAATAAATCGCACCTTTCACACCCAAAAACTATTGAAGTAAAATGGTTTGGTATTTTATTGGTGTTTATTAATAAATAAAACCTTACATGGTCGCTTGGAGAGACAAAATTTCTCTTCTCGTGTTGAAAGAAAATATTTCACTCGTTCACTGCGCTCAGTGAACTCGTGAAATATTTTTCAACACCCTCCGCGCGGCCTTGTAATGTCCTCTATCTATCACTCTAGATATTTGTTGTCCAATTTAAAAGCCTACGCCTGGCGAACCAATGAAGTTAGGTCACGTAACAACGTAATAATTAATATTTTGCTCTTCATTTATATAGATGTTGCTTGCTAATTAGGATAATTGCTAGTCTTTTCTGTTACTTCTCAGAACCTAAATTAGAAGCTATATCTGAATACTGAGCGAACACATTGTTGACTGTTTGGCTTGTTGAGATCGGATTGTATGATGAATCTGTGAAAACAAGGCTTTTCATATAAAGTTGACTCCTGATAACTCATACCAAAATCAATTTCCCCTGGATTTCTTTCACAGAAAAACTGTAATTTATTTTCGGTAACTCGAAATCTCGAAAACTCGAACCTCCAGATAACTCGAACCCTTCAGATCATTTCTATATA